AGCAATTAAAATCTTAATCGATCGGATATTACCAGCATTGTCATTCTAGCACACTAATGACCAGTATTCTCTTGGGTCCGCACGCCTGCCCTTTTTACACCTTTTACCTTTCATCTACACTCCGAAGCGTTTTTGGGTGAACAACGCTTCTAAAACTCGGAGTCTGTTTTGTCCTTAAAATACAATCAAACAAACATCAACAAACAGAGAATAACAACAGCAACAACACGGGATTACTCAAACAACCCCGATATTAATTAATTAATTAATTAATTAATTAAAATTGAAATACTTCAAGAAAGAAAATACCAGACTCTGCAGCAGAAGGGGTGTGAGTGCAGCGGTGGGCAAAAGAGAGTTAGCCTCAGGTGGGTACCCCCCTGCCATCTCCCAGGTTGCGTGTGAGAATAAAATGATCCCTTACAGCGTTATTACTGTGTTATTTTGGGAAGTTATAAGTAGTTTTACATTTTTGATAGACCAAACAAGAGCTCGGATATTCCATTATCTGTCCCATTTCCCTCGTAGCACCAGAGCAAGTAAAATCATATCTGAGAGCATCCTCAGAGGAGATTGCTTGTGTCCTTTCCCAAACCATGCAATTCGCGAGACAGTGGACTTCCCACGGAGGAAAGGCAAAGTCTCGTGTGCTGCACCTAAAGGCACTCGCGAGGAACTGGAGGGCTCGAGGAGGGGGTACCCACAGACTCCGTGCTCCCGGCCGCTCTCTGCACCGCCGCCCCACTGACCTGCGGGACACTTTGGAGGCCCATCCGTCATCCAGACCGGGCATTTCTGCTCTCGACCTCTTTCCCAAGAGGATCTCCCCTGGTCTGTGCGAGCCCGGCGTCAAGAGAAACCTAATGCCCGGACTTCACCACTTTCATTACCGCGGTTAAAAACTTGTAGGGTTAATTTTGCGTGTTATTCTCTTGTTAATCATAGTTTTAATCTTGGTTTTATTTCTAAGCCGAGATCAGAGACTTTGCCCTTCTTGACATTCTCCTAATCAAATTCATCTTTCTGTTTAATGGGAAATTGGGGTAAATTCTGCAGTAATTTCATTGCTCTGGAAGAAATCTTTAAATGATTGCCCTCTCCTAGACCACACAGGACCACACAAGCACCGCTGGAGGATATTGCTGACCACTGCTTTTAATTTTTATTGTTTGAGTTATGTCTACCAATTGAATCTCCCACTTATTAACTTACTTGTATTCTGACTTTTTGTTCCCTAAGAGGATGGGCAATAGGGTTTTCTTCGTAGTCGCCTTTTATGAAAAAGCTGACTCTGATTTTCGGTTCTCGGAGAGAGAAGGAACATTTTCAGTTCAAAGACTATATTTTTGTCCGCAATAAACACAAGGAAGGGATGTGAGTTCCAGTTACCGGAAAGAAAGGTGACACTTCAAACTAATTTTATGGGGTTAGAGAAAACAGAGCTTTCAATTAATATTCAATTCATCTGTAATTGTTAATTAATTAAAAGAAATCAAAACCTAGAGTAGTTGGAGGCAGTCACAGCTGCAGAAAGCGATGTTTATATTCCAATCTGCAGGGAAAAGCATTTACAACAGAAATATCTAGTTCCCGAGGCGACTGGCCACGGAGCGGAGCAGAGGGAGAGCCTTGGACAGACTTGTGCTGCTTTTTCCAGCCACAGCCGGCTGCTGGTTTGGGGGGGGGCGGCGTGTTACTGCCGCGGGTGTCCCCCAGCCTGTGTCTGTACAGGAAATATCACCACTGAGGAGTAAGTAGAGCGACCCGGAGGGCTGCTTTCACACGCTCCTTTCCGCTTTTTTTTTTTTTTCCCCCTGGTTTTTAAATAGGCATCCGGGTCGGCCTGGACATCAGAGCTGACCACACGCTATAATTTCACTGGCATATCCTTCCAGTTTACAGACGAAGGTTGCTCTGCGTGTGTCCGAACAGCCTCCCTCGCTCATTTATCACTCGGAAGCGCGGCTCCCGAAGCGAGGGGAAGGTTTCTCGTGCCTATGCCGGGAGCTGTCCAGGAGATGGCAGGATTGCCTCAGACATGGCTGGGAAATCGCACTGCCTTACAGAAGCCAAGCAATGCATCATTGCGCCACTGAGCATTTGCAATTCATTTTGTCGAGGTACATATTAATTATCTGTAATAACATGCGCTACATTTCAGGCGAATCATCATGTCCTTTTCTCTAAACATGGACGACTGTGACCGGCTGCAGCTGGGGCTGCGCGGCGGCAGCCCAGCCCCAGGACAGCGTACAACTGGCGTTCTGGAAGAGTCCAAGGTGTAGCCAAGGAGGTTTTGAATAACGCTCACTAATGCCCCAGCTCGAGGCTTAGAAAACCCTTTTAATCTACACCGGTAGGTAGACGGGCTGATGTGCCCCGGCTTCACTGTCCTCCTCTCTGTAGCTGCTGCCTTCTTAATGATTCTGCATCTTCTTATGAAATTAAAAGGCGACTCCTCTCCATCTGGTACCGATTTGCCAGACAGTTCGGATTTCCTCCTGCCCTGAAAAAGCGGCTTTGGCCGTGGCAAAGCTGCACCTTCTGAGAGCACGGAGCCCGGCAAAGCCAAAGGTTAAGCCTGGAAGGAGGAAGAGAACAGCCCGCGATGGCTCCGGGGCCGGGAAACAAAACAGCTCTGACAGTGCCCGGCCTTCCATCTGCAGGGAGACTCAGTGGGAGGAAAAACCTCTGTAGAATTAATAGGAGTATGTGTGGGTGAGTGGGGGTGCCAAGGGGGAGAAGACAAGAATTTAAAATATTCGGAGAAAACAACGCTGCATCGGCAGAGAGGGCTGTTCCAGGTGCGTAAATGACGTGTACCACAAGTGTCCTTTTATCCCAGAATCAAACAAAAATGCCCTTCGTGATAAAATCCGAAGTGCTCAGAAATGGACTTTTTTCGTCCGTTCGGGGAAAACAAACGCCTCAATTACCGTGAACGTGCAAGCGGAGTAGAAAGAGGAAGGAATAGGGCGGAGGAGGCGGAAGATAATCCCCCTATGGAACCAGCCGGTTGCGGAGAGAACGGAGGGGCGCCGTCCCAGACCGCCCCACAGCCGGGGAACCGGCAAGTGCCGGTCCGCTTTGGAAGGGGAGAACAAAGGGGCCGTGGGCCGCCCTCGGCCGCTGGGCATCGGGCAGGCCGAGCAGGGCTCAGAGGAAGAGGGGAGACACAGCCTTTCCCCTGCCTCCCATGACAACATTTCTCGCTGGCAACATTTCTTTCTTCCTAAAAACTCTTTTCCATCGACAAAGGACTCTCGGATACCCCTTTCCATCCTTTAATGCACCTCTTATCGTATCTACCTCTCATTTCCCAGGAACGGCGTCCTATAAGTGCCTCTGAGAAGATCTCAGGCAAGCCTGGAGCCCGCAAAACCCCTTCCTGCAAAAGAAGGCGAATTTCTTTTTCTCTTTTTATATATATTGAAAAGAAACCATTTTATTAAAGGCGGTTCAGGAAAAGATTTGCAACATCAGTAACAGTTGGGAAGTCCAGACTGTATTTCCAACACAAAAGCAGATTTTAAGACAAATGAAAAAAAAGATACGGTTTATGGAGAAATAGACTTATCGCATGTCTTACCACATACAATGGTAATCAAAGTGTTTAGAGTAATAGTATATTATAATAAATAATACTAGTTTGGAACACACATTTTAATAATTAGACGAGGCACATTAACAGAGAGGAAATCACTTCTCTCTCCTAGTAGTTGACTAGCGCGTCTGATCACCCTGTGTATATCATAACATGCACACTAGATTTAAAATAATTACAAAATCGACAAAATGCTAGCCTTTCGGCCCATATAAATTATGGTATCTTTTGAACTTCCTTATTTATTGCTTCTGTCATTAACACCCGCGGGTTTTTTTGTAAATTAAAAATTAACAATGAACTTCACTTATCCAAGCAGGTTTGTGGTTTTTTTAGCCTTGGTGGTTTTTTTGTTTTGGTTTTTTTCTTTTTTTGTTTGTTTGTTTGTTGGGGTTGGGTTTTTTTGGCCGGAGGAAGGAGAAGAATCTTTCGCTGGTCCGGACAAACAAGATAGAGCGGATATTTTACCCTAGGTCTGCGCAGGTCCATACACACCTCTGTAGGGGCAGCCTCTCCTCTGGCTGCAGGGCGAACCGGCCAATCCATCACGCCGAAAGCGCTGCCCCCAGGCGCCCCGACCTGAATCTCCGCGGAGCGCCCAGCCGCACAGCCCCCCGGCCGGCAGCGCCCGCCCGGGGCCGAAGTGCCCCTTCCTGGGAACAGACACTCCCTTTTCAACCGGGCATTATGGAATCCTTTCACTGAAAACGAAACTGCGGCAAAGAAAAACCCCAAGCCCAACCTCAAACCCAAACCTGCGGAAGTGGGGAGCGCGGTGGGACATGCCTGGGACTCTGTGCCCCCTCAACAGCTCAGAGAGATTCTCTCTCTCTCGAAAAGCAATTAAAAATTCTGCTGCAGCCAGTAACCCTCCACGTAATTCTCTCCGGTCCCACTGGACTAGGCGGGTGCTGCCACAGGTCCATATTCCGGCTTTCTTGCATTTTCCGATCGATTTTTTTTTTTCATTCGGCTTGTTTTGAAGTTTACAATACCAAATCAAAACTGACACTTTTTGGCACTGGCTGTTGCTCAGAGAAAAAAAAAAAATTACAGAAAACCCCCCAAAGAGTTAAGCATAGAAAGTTATAACTGTAACCGTTCAACATATTTAAGTTCGTTTATACTGGCCTAGAGGGGAGAACAGAAAATATAATTAATATTAATATTATTATTATTTTCAAAAAGAAGAAACTGAACTATAATTCAATTCGAGGCTTGTCAACACTCTCTTACACTTACAGAAAAACGCTGACTTTCACGGAAAACAATTCCCGAAATTTCGCCACCGCTGGAAGAACAAAAAAAAAATTAAATATATTTTCAAGTCTTTCCAAGAGTCTTTAGCTGGTCGTAAATTGAGTTTATATATCCATCACTGTCCGCATTTAATGTATCAAGATACATTGTCTTTCAGTTTGGAGACTATTTTCTTATCCTTCACCCTCCTGTTCTGAAACCAAATGGTAACTTGTCTCTCAGACAGGTTTGTGGCTGCAGATATCCTTCGCCTCTTGTCCTTGTTAATGAACTTGTTAATGGCATATTCATTCTCGAGTTCTTTAAGCTGCAGCTTTGTATACGGCACTCGCTTCTTTCTCCCACGCCGGTAGACACACATATCGGGCTGGTTTAGTGCAACGTCCCCTATTGTAAAAGACATTATGTGAAAAATTAGAATTTTATTACAGGCGTTTAAAGCTTAACCGATATTGTTGGGCACTGGTTTTCATGGGCAAATAAATAATGCCGGGCTGTTTACAGTTTATTATTATTTACGCTACCACATTATTTGCACGTTAGTAAGGCACCACCGAAGCCTTGATGGACTGTCATCACTTTTCAGGCATGCATCTCTAACTGACCATGAAGGGCGGCGGGGGCATTGGCTTTGGGGCCGAGAGCAGGTCTGTGCCCCAGCGCACACACAGAAATCGCTTTGGTGAGAGTTTCCCGGGTTTGTTTGCATGTGGTTTGTGCCTCTGTGCCCTCACTACTTGCAGTCTCTTAAGAGGTCTGGGGCCGGGTCAGTCGCCAGTCAGAGAGGCAGAGGAGCGCAAGCCTTTGAGCCATCGTCCTGAAAACTGCAAACGCGAATAAAACCCGGCCACAGAAGGAATCAGCAGAAGGAACCCGAGGCCTCCCCGGCGCCCGCGGGACGGGCGTCCAGTGCCCGGGCGCTAGTGGAGGAGAGATTCTGGGGTCAGTCCCGCGGGTATGGAAAGCAGAGGGTGAGATTTTCTCTGGGGTAAGGGGTGGGAAGGGGGGTGAGAAAAAGAAAATCCGCCACCCCCACCCTGCTCTATGCGTGTCTGTGCAGCGTGTCCAACTCGGCAGGCCGCCCCTGCAGCCCGGGGGCGGGGGAGGGGACGAGCAGGCGGAGGAGGCACGGGGGAGTTCTGCTCAGACCATTTCTCCCCCTCTCGTACCTGGAAAGGACGATTTCCAGAAGTGTGAGCTCTGTGTCTGATCTTTGGCACAGTAAACCTGACTATTCCAGCCATTAGCCAGAGTCCAAGACTGATAGCCCTCCATTGATATGTATGTTTCGTGTCTCGGTTCCCCAGAGCCAAACGTTGAGACCATGTCTATGTACCCAGGAACGTGCTGGTAGGGGGTTGTGTAGCCCTGGTAGAAGGACACTTCCTTCGCCCTGGAGGAGACTTCATTGGCGGGAACACTCGTGCTGGTCAAGCTGGAGACGTCCATATACTTTTCCACGGGAAAGCCGCCAATGGAGGCATGGGGGGGAGACTTCAGGGCATTTTGCTGGATCCCAACCCCGTGGGACATCCTGCAGC